AGAAACATCAATTCAAAAGAGCACCTGCACCCCTATGTTTATAGCAGCACTGTTTATAATAGCTAAGCTTTGGAAACAACCCAAATGCCCAAAAATAGATGACTGGATCAAGAAGATGTGGTACATATATACCATGGAATATTACTCAGCATTCAAAAAAGATAAACTCATGCAATTTGCAGCAACATGGATGGAGCTGGAAGGGATCATGCTCAGTGAAATAAGCCAAAAAGAAAAAGAAAACCAGCAGATGGTCTCACTCATAGCAGGAATCTAGAAAACTTAAATAAGGGACCAGGAAAATGAATAACTATAAGAAAGTGAAAATCAAAATCAACAAAAAACTATGAACCAGAGACACTTTTTGGGGGGGGGGGCGGGAGGGGAGGGATTGGGTCAGAATGGGGGGGTTGCAATTGTATGGGGAATATAAAAATAAAATTTATTATAAAAAAAAGAAAATAAATAAATAAATAAATAAATCGTATCCATCCTTCAAAGAAAAAAACAAAAACATAAACAAACAAACAAACAAAAACAGAAGCACAGGATCTGGTGGTTTCATATGCAAATTCTACCAAACTAATGCATATCTTGCCCAAACTCTTTAGAAAAAATTAATAAGGAATACTTCTAAATACATTTCATGCAGCACAACATCACACAAATACCAAAATAAAATAAACTCGACAGAAAAAAAGGAAAACTACATGACAATCTACATGCTAATGAAAACAAATACTAAAATGCTCAATAAAATCTTAAACCAAATCCAACAATGCATATAAAAGAGTATACACTATGACCAACTGAAATTTATTCCCAGGGACACAAGGATGGTTTAACACCCATTAATCAATCAATGTAATTCACCATATCAACAAAAAGAAAGATAAAAGTTATATAATCAATCAATGTAATTCACCACATCAACAAAAAGAAATATAAAAGTTATATCATCATGTCAATAGATGCTGGGAAAGCATTTGATAAAGTTCAAAATCCATTTGTGATGAAAACCCTCAAAGAACTTAGGATAAAAGAAATATATCTTAACATAATGAAAGCCATATATGGCAAACTCATAGGTAGTCTCATTTTTAGTGGTGAAAAACTAAAAACCTTTCTAGAAATAGAAAGAGTATAGTAAAAACAGGGTGTAAAAGTTAAAAAATGGTATACCTGTATAGGGCCCTTACCTTAATGGAGTTTGCCAAAGAGCAAGTTCCTCTGGGTGAGTCTAGGGTATTGTTATACATTGCATCAGACTTAAACACAGTATACTTAGGCTACACTAAATTTATACAAGAATATTTTTCTTTCCTCAGCAATAAATTAACCACAACTTTCTTTAATGTTTTTACTTTATATACTTTTTAATTTTAAAAAGTTTTGACTCTTGTAATAACACTTAGCTTAAAACATAAACAGTGAACAGTCATAAAAATATTTAGAAAAAGACCACCTGTACCCCTATGCTTATTGCAGCACTATTTACAATAGGGAAAACCTGGAAACAACCCAAATGCCCAAAAATAGATGACTGGATCAAGAAGATGTGGTATATATATACACAATGGAATGTTATTAATCAATCAAAAAGATAAACTCATGCCATTTGCAGCAATGTGGATGGAGCTAGAAGGAATTATGCTCAGTGAAATAAGCCAGAAGGAAGAAGAAAAGTATTTCATGGTTTCACTTATAGCAGGAATACAGGGGAGCCAAATAAGACATTAGTGTAAAAAAATAATAACAGTACCAAACACAACAAAGCAAAAACAGACAATTATAAATCAGAGACATCCTGCAGGAGAGGAGGAGGGAGAGGGATCAGAGGGAGGAAGGGAGGAGCACAGGGGACTGAGGTGATGGTGCACAGGTGCATTGGTGAAGGAAACTCTATGGGGACTACACCTGAGGAGGTGGGGGAAAGCAAATATTGTTTAAAAATGAACAATGATGTAAAAAAATTAAAAAATAATTAATAAAAAATTAAAAAAGTATTTACTATACTGTATTATTCTATAAGTTTTTTTCTTTTTTTTTTACTCTTTAAACTTTTTTTTTTGTTAAAAACTAAGACATTTTACCCAAAGGACACAGAAACATTAATTCTGAAGGACACCTTCACCCCTATATTTATAGCAGCAATATTTACAACAGCTAAGCTATGGAAACAACCCAAATGCCCAAAAATAAATGACTGGATCAAGAAGATGTGGTGCATACACACAATGAAATATTACTCAGCAATCAAAAAAAGGTAAATTCATGCCATTTGCAGCAACATGGATGGAGCTGGAAGGGATCATGCTCAGCTAAATAAGCTAGAAAGAAAAAGGAAAATACCGGATGGTCTCACTCATAGCAGGATTTAGAAAACCTAAATAAGGGACCAGGAAAAAGACTATAAGAAAGTAAAAATCAAAATGAACAAGGTACTATAAACCAGAGATACACTACGGGGATTGGAGGAGGAGAGATTAGTGTCAAAATAAAAGGGGGTGGGAATTGTATGGGATCTATAACCAAGATGAAAATGCATACATTGTGCAAAAATGAAAAATGTTGTAAAAAATAAATATATATATTTAAAAAAAAGGAAGAAAAGAACACAAGGGACTATGGTAATGGCTCACAGGTGATTTGGTGGTGGGAAATTTATGGGGAATACATCATGATGTAAAAGATATAAAGAAAAAATTATACATATAAAAATAACACTGGGGGAAGAGCAGCAGTAGCCAGGCAGTGCATCTTTGCAAAGGGTCTGCTGCAGCACACCCCCACACTGCTGCCATGGTGTCCAAGAGGAAGCTAAGCTCTGCCAAGAGGGCAGCCAAGGAAGAACCCAAGAAGAGACGGGGAGGTTGTCAGCTGAACCTGCTCTCCCAAAAGTGGAAACGAAGCCCAAAAACTCCACGGAAATGATATATCTTCAGCCAAAAAAGTACAAGCAAATGGGAGGAGGAGAGCAAAAGGGGAAGATGGCTGAAGTGGCTAACTTAGAACTAGGTAAGACAGAGAAAAGGAGAGGCTACAACCCAGGAGATCCGGCCTCTGAGAGAAGTCAAGTCTGTTAATATCACAAACCATGTCTTCTCAATGCTCCCTTCTTGTGTAATCCAGGGAAATATTTTTATCAACTGTTTTGTAAATACAAGTTATTTGTAGCTATGGAAACATTTTTAAGAATTAGGGAAGCCTACCTTATCCCTTTTTTTTTAAGTATAAATGCTTTTATAAAAAAATCATTTGCTTGTTTATATTTGATATAACCAGAAAATAGTGGGATTATTGAATATGGGATTCTTTGATTGTTCTAGGTGTCTGTTTAACTTTCCACAGATGGGGGTAGTTTTATTTCCTGTTGCATGAAGCATACTAAATGGTAATTTGCAGTCACAGTTGTGCATTTAACGTTTTGAACTTTTAAAATTCTATTCCCACATTTTGGCTTTTTTTTCTAAGATTGTTTCCTAAAGAAAACCACAACTTGATCTTGGCTCTTCTGTCACAATTTCCTTCACTCTGTGACATCTTGGGTTGTGGTATTCCAGTTTTTAGTTATTTTGTTTTTATGTGCTGTGAAATATTGAAAGTTTGAGTATGTGGTGCATATGACACTAAATTGTGAAGTAGCGAGGCTTACAATGTGATGGCTTACAGGCATTTGAGAATAAAGGTACTTAATATCCAATTAAGGAAAATTTGCCTCCAGATTTTAAGCTGCAAAGTCTCTGAAATAACTATTTGAAAAGAATCAAAATGACATGACTTTTTAGATTTTTGGTACATGAAGAATAGTGCACAATTGGAAATGTCTGTGTACTGATCCTCAAAACAATAAAATCTTCTGAAAGAATGTCTTGAAGTACACAAAAAATAAATAAAAATAACACTATACTCCTTCACAGATAGTGTAAGTAATTTATAACAGTATTGCCAACTCCCTAGCCTGCACCTTATAACATTACTGCCACTCTTTTCACTAATTCATGAGCCATGAAGACATTGTTGCTACTGTTATTTTGAGAAGTTACATATATATATTTAAACCTTCATTAATGTAGACCCTTTCTTTATGTAGACACGATATTCTATTTTTCTATTTTATTCTCTTTTTTTTTTTGAAGAAGTTCTTTCAATGTCTCTTGCAACTCAGCTCAACTGCCAAAAATTTCTCTTGTTTTAATTGTTTAAGAAAGTGTTTGTTGTTCTTTACTTCGCAATGACAGTTTCATAGGATACAGAATTCTAGATTAGTGGCTTTTTCTTTTAATACTTTACATGTTTTACTTCTCTCTCTTATCACTTGCATGGTTTCCGAAGAAAGGCCCATCTTGTAATTTTTGTTGAATGTTAGACATGATTTATTGGGCAACAGAAACTGAAGCAATTAGGCCTTTGATATGAGGTTTATTTCAGTTGACTTGGAGTTAGGCTGTGATCAAGATTTATAATGGCTGTACATGCCAGGGGCTTCAGTTACTCTAGTGTCATTGTTTCCTCTCCCTGATTTCATGTTTCCTTAAAAGTTCCTTCTTGGGGGCCTCCCTATGAAGCTGTCAGCAGCCTCTGCAGGGTAGGTTCGATCACCCGCCAGGGAGCATTCCACACGGTGCAGCAGACCTCTCCTGGCTCCCCTGCTGCTCCCCTCAGCAATGTGCTCTGGTCTCTGGTCGGTCTTCCTGTTCTGTTCCCCACTCTCTTTCTGGTGAATTCTCTCAAACCCGCCCCCTCGACTCCTGTACCCGCACCTCTGGCCTGTACCCCAGCTGTTTTATGCATAAATTAATGAATCTTTAAAAAAAATTCCTTCTTAAATAGAGTCTCTGTCTTGCAATTGTTTCAATTACAATTTACTGTTATCATAATGGGCACTTTTGATATGATAGTAAGGTAGCAGTGAGGATGTTTTACAATCTTAGGATTAAATCTCATTTTTTTGGAAATGTGTCTAAATTCTTGGGCTGGGACTGTCTTAAGTATTACTTGTGTTTATTTCAGCAGCACTTATAAGATAAGAACAATGCAAAAAAGATTAGCATGGGCTCTGTGCAATGATGATATACAAATTCATGAAGTCTTCCATAATTTACAAAAAAGTGTTTCTTTGTCTCCTCCTACACATACCTCCTTAGTGAGATAAAGATTGCTAGAGGATAGAGGAGTTATCTAACAAGAATTTGGCAAGGTAGTTCCCTTGAGAAAAGGTGCCTCTTGAGTATAATGAATCCTGGGCAGTATTCAGAATGGTTACTTCTCCTTTGGGCATATTTAAAATGGTCACATTTCCCCTTCTCTTTCTTGATGTATGAGACTTTTTTCCTCCCATCCTCACCATCAGAGTGTGGAGGAATTTCTGAAGTTGAAACTCAAGAAAGTGCAATAGTTCCCCTAAGACTTGGCCCTCAGGAGGTCTTTTCTCCCTTTTCCATTTTTCCATTCCAAGGAGATAAGGATGGCTGGGGACAGAGTAGACAGAATCCTGCAGGTTGTAGGGCCTGGTGCAGGAGGTCAGGTAAAGGTGGAAGATTCCAGCTCATGTTGAATCCCTATTCATTCTTTCTTGGGGTAAGTACTAAAAAGGGCTTACAGTTATGAATTTGCATCTTCAGAACCTGTTTGTCTAGGACTTCAAAACCACTCCTTAGAAATGTAATCTTTGAGAAGGAAAGGGCCAGGGTCTCCTAGTCTCTTCGTGAGGGCCGAGAACCTCCAATAAACACAGTTGGTCTAGTCACATTTGCACTGACCAACTCTGAACTTTATCACTCCTGTGGCTCTACTGAGCCCCTTCCTCCAGCATTCAACCTTTAAAATGCCCAAATGACTTCTGCACAATTTGGAATGGATTTTAGCTCTCACCTATTGTCTGCAGTTACTGAATAAATCTGTTTTCACCACTTCAACTCATATCGGCTGTGTTTCTCTTTGACATGGCCCTTCTCCACAAGGAGACCAGAACCTTATCTTAATACTTCCTAGATTGCATAATCATTATACTAGTCAGTTCTCAACAGCAACTATTAGTATCTGTTTCTATATAGATATATCTCTATATATAGAGAGACATAGGTACATGGATATATAGATACATAGCTCTATGAGGAAAATTAGTATCTGAATTTGCTTATATGATATTGGGGGCCCAAATATCCCACAATATGCTCCTGCAAGCTGGGAACTAGGAAGCCAGAGGTATAGTTCAGTCTAAGTCCGAAGCCCCAAGAACCAGGAGAATCAACGGTGTCACTCCCAGTCTAAGGCTAAGCACTGAGAACCAGGGTACTACTAGTGTAAATCCTGGAGACCAAAGACCAGAGCAAGGAACACTGATGTCCAAGGGCAGAAAATGGATGTCCCAGCTCAATAAGAGAGAGGGAATCCACCTTTCCTTCATCTTTTGGTTCTATTCAGGCCCTCAATGGGTTAGATGATATCCATCCAAATTGGTAAGGGTAACTTCTTCACTCAGTCTTTGAAATCAAATGCTAACCTCATCCAGAAACACCCTCATAAACACCCCCTGGAAGTGTTTTACGAGCTATTGGGCATCCCATGGATTCTCAGGTTGACAGGTGAAATTAACCATCATGGTCATCAACTGCTTGTTAAGGTTGAGCAAGCAATTTTCAGTTTCTCAGTGTCCATCTGCAGTGTTGAATGCAGGTCAGCAGTGACCAGTCAGCTCTGGACTTTGTTGGCATATTTCCTCCATATTTTCAAATATCTATGTCATCATACATGCCACAGCTTTTCCCTCCTCCAGGACATATTCCCAGACCATTTGTGAATTCTTAGCAGCAAGCATCTACCTGTTCCCTAACTGTGGGTCTCCTCTTCTTTCCATGCAAGGGGTGAACCAGTCCCCAAATCCCTATTTTACTATCAATTTCCTTAGGCTAGTCTTGGTACTACTTGTATCAGTGAAGATTCTCTGAAGATGGAATTGAATATGCAAGGATTTTATTTGTGGTGTGATTTTGTGTGTGTGGTTTTTTTTTAAAGATTTATTTATTTATTTATACAAGAACTGGGGCACAGGCCAGATTTGTGGGAGGGTGGGAGGATTCACCAGAGATAGAGCTGGGAACAGAACAGGCAGACTGACGAAATACACTGCTGAGGGGAGCAGCGGGCGTGACAGGAGAGGTCTGCTGTGCCATGTGGGACCCTTGCCGGCTGGCTGGAATGGAACCGGCGCTGCAGAGGCCTGCAGACAGCTTTACAGCGTTGTGTTCAACCACCTGTGCCACCAGGGGAGGCCCTGTGGTGTGTGATTTTGTGTGAGAGAATGGGGAGGGAGTCGAGGCAAACTGGATCTTGTGGGAACACCCTAGATTTCCATGCAGGCCAGAGTAAAATGTCTGCTCCTTATCCCTGCTCTGTAGGCACTGGCTCAGAGAAGCCTATGGGAAACAATCTGGGCACAAATACAATGGGAAGACCTGGTGAGTCAGAAAAAGACCATATTTTCACAAAAGCCTGAGTAATTTCCCCTCTTCTGCTGTGATCTCTGTCCTCCAAATCTTATTCTCTTTTCTCAGACTCTCCAATCAATATTTAAGACCAACTGGGACTTAGTTTTCTTTTATTGTTTGATTGACTGATATTTTTCTTACATTTTTATTCATTTTTTGGTGCAATAAATGAATAAATCCCCATACATCTCCCACCACCACATAACTCATGAACTTCACCACATTTCCTTGTGCTCTTCCTTCCCCTGTTTTGATTCCTCTCCCATCTCTTCTCTTGCTGTATGCCTTAAATCTACAGTTTGCCTGTAAGTTTTGTCTATTTTTTTGACCCTTAATTGGGTTTCCCTATATCCCACCTATGAGTGAAACCATAAGCGATATTTTTCTTTTTCCTTCTGACTTACTTCACTGAGCATAATCCCTTCCAGCTCCATCCATGTTGCTGCGAATGGCATAAGTTTATCTTTAAATGCCGAATAGTATTCCATTGTGTATATATATTGCACCCTCTTGATCCATTCATTTGTTTTTGGGCATTTAGGTTGTTTCCATACCTTACCTATTGTGAATAGTGTTGTTATGAACATAGGCATATACTTTTCTTTTTGAATTAATGTTTTTGTGTTCTTTGGGTAGACTCGTAAGAGTGGAATCACTGGGTCATATGGTAGATCCATTTTTAGTAAACTGAGGGCCCTTCACGCAGCTTTCAATAGCAGTTGGACAAGTTTGCATTCCCACCAGCGGTGTAAGAGGGCTCTTTTTCTTCATTTCCTCGCCAGCATTTGTTGTTGCCAGTTTCTTTGATATGCGTCATTCTCACCATTGTGAGGTGGTATCTCATTGTGGTTTTGATTTGCATTTCCCTGATTACAGGTGATACTGTACATTGGAACTTGCTTTTCATCACAATGGGGAATCAGGGCAACTTCACTCTCACTAATCCTCCATTCCCCACTGCCTGCATTGTAACTGTTAATGCGGTCACTACCTCAGTGACAACTTTGTAAAGAAGCAATGTTTCTTGTATTAAAGGCCAGAACACCACAGATAAATACTGACGGGGAAATGCAATCATTGCTTGAATGTCCCTTTATGACTTAAGGAAGTGCCTTATTTTCCTACTCCTTCCCACTCTGAGAGAGAGAGAAAAAAGCATTTATTGCATCCATACATTTGTAGTGCCAGGCAGAGCCATGAAACTCCTTCAGAAATTGGATGGGAAGGTGATGCATGGTGACCAAATTATTTTTCCTGTGTGTGTTCACTTCTGACTAAAGCCTTGACCATATCCTCCACCCAGAAAGTGCTTTTTTCCTGAGTGTCCATAGGCTTGATTATAGCTAGGGTCTATTTCATGTTCCTGTTGGGGAATAACTAGGGGCTCTTGGATTCTTCTGAGAAATCATTCTATAGAATCTCCATTCAGCAGCTCTCGACAAGCTTAATAAGGAAAAAAGGCACATAGTGGGCAGCAGTCTTTTGAGCAAGAGCTGCACTTTAAAAAGGAAAGGGGGTGACCTTATATATTGCTCTTTGGTGGAGTTTCTCTTTGTTCTTGGTGGGATTTCTTCTCACTTCTGGTTCCTGGCCTTGTGAAACTTCCAACTTACTGATACCGGAATTGTCAGGCCTAGTCTCCCAGCCAGGAACGGATTCCAGGCTGCAGGGCAGCGCTGAGTCCCAGCCGCTAGACCCCCATGGGTTGGTGTCTCAAGAAGCCGCAGCAGGAACTTCGCAGATGCTCAGGCAAGCAAGCGAGAAGAGGCAGGTTTGTTTAGAAAAAGAAAAAGTTTAATGAGAAGAAAAAGAGCAGAAATAAAGTGGGACTCCCAGGCCAGGGACCCAGGCCTGGGAGGGGCAAGGAAGCCAAAGTGGAGTTGTGTCTCAGGGAATATATACTTTCTTTCCCTCATTATTCTAAAGCTCCACCAGTCTCTTTGTGATTGGTCAGTTTTTGGCTGTCTCACTTAATTTGCTACTGAGTGGGAGATCTTCACATTCCTTTTCTAACAGGTCTGTCTTTCCCATTTGTTACATTTTTATCTTTATGGTCTAGCCCTCCCGGTGAGCATCTTTACACTTTATCTTATCATCTGAAGAAAACCAGGACCATCCTTAACAAGATTATCTGTGGTGCTAGGATGTTTGTTTTTCCCAGTGGAATTGGTTTCATTTCCTTGCTATCCTTATCTCTGAAGCCTCCCTAAATTCTTCAGAGGTCCCCTCCTGCACTGTCCCTAAAACTGCCTAATAACCCTAGCTTGCCCTGTCTCATTACCTTTTCTGTTCTCAGCTTCCATCAACTTTTCTCCCCCTTCCCGCACCCACCTCACACTGTCCAATGCCAAATCATGTGAGAAGTTGAAGGGGGTGTAGATTTTCCATCACTGCTTCAGGCTAAGGGACCTGGGATACAGTCTCTCTGATGCTAACCCTGAACTGGCTGCTGGTTGATCATTTCTGCTGGTTCTGGAAGGAGGTGAAGGCAGGGTCCAAGGATTGGGGTGTTTGGGCTATTTATTGTCCCTGTTGGAGGAGTAGGTGGAGTTTAACAGTCTTTATTTTATGAACAGACTTTGTTCGGGTTGTGGTCTTTGTTCAGGACCTGATG